TTCCAGTTATTGTACCTCCCCCCGCCCCACTGGAGTTCTAAGACTTAGATTTTTCATTGCTTGGATATCTCACAAAGTCCTTCCAGCATATCATATTCCACATGTTTTTAATTCCACATTATCATCCCTGAAAAACATTCTTTACCTCCTACTTTTATAAAAATAACTTTGATTTTTCTATCATCCAGCAATAACAACAACTTTTCTAAAATATTGTCTCCATAAAATATGTTAATGGGTCCTATTAATAGGTTTTTTTTAACCCATTATAATTGCTTCAAACACAATTCAAGAATACATTACATTTTCTTTATAATATTCAAAAATCCTCTTAAATTAGAAACTTATATAATGACTAATAACGACCAATAATGAAATTTATAGTCAAACCAAAATTTCTTTTATCCATCTAAACAGTTCGTACAACTTCTTGTTTCATGCACTGTTTCAAGAGCAATCTTTGAGTTTTGTTGGTTTGTTTATGATATTTGTGTTTTACATTTGCCACCTCATGGAGCTTCCTTTTTTGGGTTTATTACTTTTAAGTATAAGAAATACAATCATTTAAAGGTTAGACATTCACTTTGACCAAAACACCAGACAAGAGCAACCAGGAGGAGGAAAGTTTATTTTGGTCTCACAGCTTCAGAGGTCTTACTCCATGGTCAGCTGATTCCATTGCTCTGGGTCTGAGGTGAGACAGAACATCATTGAGGGCGTGGCAAAGAAAAGCTGCTCAGAGTAGGGTATCCAGGAGGTAGTGGGTGGGGTGGAGAGGGAGACAGAAAGAAAGAAAGAAGAGGCCAGGGGATATATAGTCTCCAAGGCTACACCCCCAGGAAGATATTTCCTCCAGTCCCACTCCACTTGCCTACAGTTGTCACTCACCCAGTAATTCATTTGGATATCAATGAATTCATTGAGTAAATAGATTAATTTACTGCTGAGATGAGAGCCCTAATCATTTTCTAAAAGCACTACTTGTGAGTCTTGCTGCATTGGGGATCATACTTTCAACACGTGAGCCTTTTTGGTGGTGGTGATGGGGGAGGTCATTTCAGATTCGAACCCTAACAACATGTGTCAGAAATCATGAGAAATTGACAAGTAATGAGGTTTGTTGTTTCACTTCCGTCTTATTTCCATTCCAATGCCCTGATGTCCTAACTTGCCTTGAATTCTCTTTATATGAGTTCACTTCAGTGGAGATCAGTTTTATGTAAGCTCCACAATTCAGATACTGAGCACTTTTTCTAGGATCACCATTTTAAAATGGTGCAGACTTTTCTTTAAGTACCATTTACTTTCTTTTCTGCCCCATGTGAATGTATACCTCCACTAGTTTATGTGGGCTTTTTGTATAATTTGGGGTATAACTCCCAAGGGTGAAACATTTTGCCAATTTGAAAAATGAACAGGCACACAAACTTTTGCAAACTGCCTATAAAAACAGAGTAAGTGAAAATAGCTATTAAATGTTATTTAAAAATCAAGTCTATAATTTTTTGTGTATGGTACTAGCGATATGATGGCTTTCTGAAATGATGACAGTCAAAGAGTTCATTTGATCTATCCATATAAAATATGAATAGTAAGAAAAAGGAGAAAGGTCATATATAAAGTGAAATATGTGGAAGGGATATATATCAATTTTATTATTTGTAATTATAGTCTCTAAATACAGAATGGATAGAAATTCACTTACTCTCTACTATTCCTATTGCGATAGCTGAGACATAAACATTATGGAAAAATGAGTGCAGCAAAATTAAATTGCTGTGGGGAAAAAAAGTTTGCAAGGAGTTTAAGCTTTTCAGTGCAACAAAAATTATTCTAAATTTTATAAGTAGTCAACAGTATTCGGATTTTTTTTTCTCCTCGCCTCCACCCTCTCTCTCTCTTTTTTAGGATATAAAGCAATTCAGTGCATTGCTTATTTGTATACTGGCCATTAAGTGAACTGGTCATTTGGTAAACTGCATCTACTTCTGCCAGAAAAGTGTCCTTTAGCAAAATGACTTTCAGAAAATTAATCTGCTCTCTTAATTGTCCTTCCAGTGTTCAGACTCTTGCTCATCCAATTTGTTCTACTCAGTGTTGCCATGCTTCTTTCAGAAACCTCTAATCAGTTCACCACTATCTATATAATTCTCTTGAGTGACATTCAACATCCATCAGAGTTTAGACTAAATCCTCTCGTCCACTCATAGCTGCCACAGACAGTCTGTACTTACCCCATCATGCCCTTACCAGCCCCATACATTTTTTTAATGCTGTTTTCCAGCCTGGAAAGGACAATAACACTATTTTTTTGCTATCAAATGCCAGTCAACCCCAGTCCAGACATTTTGTCCTAAGTTGCCTTCCTCCAGTTTTTACAAACTAATAATTATTTTCTACTTGTATTCATCATTGGTTCATTTTTAAAAATGTATATCATATGCACCAATTGATTGGATGACAAAACCAAGGGAAACTAATTCTTCCCTGGGCAAGAATATTTTTGTTCTATTTTTTCAGAAATAAGATCTTTTAAAAAATATTTTATCCAGAATTAATCTGACTGTATACAATTGATGTCTCATAAATCATATATCAATTTATTTTCACGGGAAAAATACTTGGCTTAAAAATGCATTTAGCTCTTAGGATTTGGCATACATTCCTAAGAAGAATTAATATGTACTATAAAGAGATTACCTCAAATCTCTTAAGGTGGTTATTATAAAAAAGCATCAAAAGAAAACAAACACTGAAGAATATATAGAGAAAAAAGGAAACCCTATACACTGTTGGTGGGAATGCAAACATAGAGAGAGTCATTATTTGAAATTGTATGGTGCTTTCTCAAACATATTTAAAATAGAATTTTCACATTTTCTAGTAGTCTCACTTTTGGATATATTTCCAAAGGAAATAAAACCACAATATTGAAGATATGTCATCACTCCCATGTTGATTACATCGTTATTTTATAATAGTAATATATGAAAACACTCAGTGTCTATTGATAGATACATAAAGAATATATATATATATATATATATATATATATATATATATAATAGGCTTCTTATATGTATATATATAAATATACACATATTTATTTGGAGTATTTTTCAACCTTAGAAAAGCAAATTCCATCATTTGTTTCAACACAGATGAAACTGGAGGTCATCATGCTAAACCAGGCACAGAAAGACAAATTCTTGTGTGTGGAATCCAAAAAAAGTAGAATTAAATGAGAATAGTGGTTACCAGTGACTTAGGAGAGGGGAGGAGAAAAAGATGATTAACTATTAGAGCATTAACATACAGCTTAGTGAGTATTGTTAATGATAAATGTATCGAGGATCTAAAATTTCTAAAACTACAGATTTTATGTGTTTTTACCATACATTCATACACACACGCCGTAACTATGTGAGGTGATGGGTATGTGAATAGCTTGCTTGTGATAACTATTTCACAGTTGTATGCATGTTATCAAAATATAACATTATATACATTATACACACTGAATATATGCTTTTTTAAAAAAATTAATTATACCTCAATAAGGATGGAAAAAAAAAAAGAAAAAGAAAAGAAAGAAGTCAGGTTTTTAAGGAGCACTCTGAAAGAACTGCCATCTCCCCACATTGTGAAGACTCTGGGGAACAAGACTTTGTGAAGAGCAAGTTTTGGGGAGTAGAACAGAGTTAGTTTTTGGATCATGCAGGGTGCCTCTTTGAGGTACTTATTAAACATCTAAGCAATGATTTTTTCCTATGACTCTGATGTTTGAGGGAGAGACCCAGACCAGAGATACATACCTGGAAGTAATTCTCAAAGTGTATGTGTATATTTTAAGACATGGTCACCAAAGTATGAGTATAGAAGGAAAAAAACACCATCAAAGAGCCCTCAGATAAGCCAACATTTAGATTGAAGACATTGAGAAAGAACAAAGGAGACAAGAGCCAGAAATAAAGGAGACAGTTACTGCCAATTACAATTATGGGTCTTGTATGATGTGATTGAATCAACCATTGAATTTAGCAAAGTTTCAGTAGAATGGGGGCAGCAGATGGATCCTGGTTACAGTGAGTACACCAGGGAATGAGAATAAAAAATTTGGAAAAAGTACAAAAAAAATTGAATGCTGATACTTAAAAATTAATCTATGGATCACTATTCCTCATGTATATTTTAATTTATCTCCAGGATAAGACAGTTAGTTTTCTAATGCATAATTAAATTCAGATTATGTTCACAGTGAAATGGAAACTCCTTAAGTTTGTGGAAAAAGAATCATTGCTGCATAAAGAGTACTTATTAGATCTGGCTTTAAAAGGGACCTGAAGAATGAAGTCACTCAAGTCATCTGCAAAAGTTAATCCACACTTCTAAATTTCATTCATTTAACTTTATTAATGGGTATATTGCTTAGTATAGGACCCAGAATTGAGCTGGCACTAAAATAGTAGCTATTTTTTTTTTTTTGCTTTTCTTAGCAAACCAGTATTTGTGTGTGTGTGTATTCCACTGTTGTTCATAACATCTTACCTGTGACATTTCTCTACCACTTAAACTTGTTAGCAAAGTTTTAAAAATTTAGTTTATTTTAGTTCTGTCCATCAATTACAGTGAGCTAAATGATTAATGGAAGGATGTCCCTTCTCCCCTTCTGATTCTGCATATTGGGTTACTGAGGAAAATAATTAGCTGCTATTGTTTACTCATTACCCTCTTCTCTAGGACTCTTAAAACTGGTGTATGCTCAGGGTTACTGTAGGCCATAGTCTATGTTTTGTCTCACCATGATCACTTACTGCTCTTTCAATTTCAATATTGTCATAGTTCTAATGATGTATAGTTGATAGAAACGGGGCTGGCTTTAAGTTTGTTTCTTCTGGTCTCCTGCTTTGCAGTCATGGTTTTACTCTCTTTGGGAACTTCACAATCACGTTTTCTCTATTTCTTTTTTTTCCCTCTCACTCTTATTCTCTCAGATATTTTCCCTATCCCATCTGTCCAATGTGCAACCAACAAACAGTAGGAAGGAACTGTTGTGGAGGTGGTGTCAGAGTTTGCATTTTGCCATGTAGAAGTACTCTACACTTTAATTTTCTCTGGATGGAACTGGAGATCATCATGCTAAATGACAGTAAGTCAGACACAAACAATTGCATGTTTTCTCTCATATATGAAATCTGAAAAAAAAAGAGAAGTGTAGAATGGGAAAGCTTTAGGTAAGGAAGGGGTATGGCTGGGGGTGGAGAGGGTGGTAAGAGAGTGTCATGGTGACAGTGGATGCAGTCACATTACATTATATGCATGTGTGAAAATGTCAAAATGAAACCCATCAATTTGTACGGTTCATATGCACTAATACATAAATTAAGAGAATGGATTGAATAAAAACACTCCATGAAAAAACATGGGGTTTCCTCACATCTTTACTCTCAGATTAAGTTTTAACTCATTCATTAATAACCACTTGAAACGCTTATAATATTGAGTGGGATATCCCCCCTCTTTTTGGTCAATCCTCAGATCTAATATTATAGGTTGCTATTGAACAGTGTGAGTTTTGATGTTTTCATAATATCTGTAAGATTGTTTCTAGGCAATCTTTCCCAAGTTTTATATTTCGTCTATCACAACCATTTTATATTTATATGTTTTCAGCTAATTCATAAATATCATAAAGATAGCTTGACCTATAATGGATATGAAAAGTTGACTACTTTTTAATTTTTATTCCTATAGTTTTATAGAGAGTCTCTCATCCCCTGAAGATTTTACTTAATTTTTATTTATACAACATAAAGAATGATAATGTGAGAACAAGCAGACCAGTTAAGGTTTGGCTTTCTGATTTTGCTCATGATGGCCCTTGTTCTAACACTCAGGGCACAGGAATATTTCATATATTCTTTAATGTCTACAGCCCACTTCTTAGAAGATGCTTTTGGGTAATATGTCCAATTTTTATCCCTGCTTTGAGATTCAGTTCTCATTTTCTCTCCTTAATAAAGATTGCTATGGACTCTACTGTCTTTCCAGCCTAAAGATAAAAAAAGTTCATCTGACAGAGTGTTGAGAAGGCATTTAAAATAAATGGCAGATTTGCATTATTTTTACTCATAAATAAAATGGACATTGAATAAATAGTATGAGAGAGCATATTTCATCATTGTGTGCATGGAATCTAATTTGGATTACTATAACTATAATGTTAGTATTCTAAAGTATCATAAATCATAAAATATGACAGATTTCAGATTCTTAGATTTAAAAAAATATATATATCCTAGATGATTTCTTGCAAGAATGACATCTTTAAATAAAAATACATTTAGGTAAAAAATTTAAAAGATATTATTGATGTAATATTTATAATAAAATTTTAGCTTTATTATTCTGCTTTTCTTTTTCTTCTGATATTAGGAAAGAAGAGCAGGAATCCATTTCAAGCTAAAGAGGGAAATTCAACCTGGACTATCTTTCTCTTTCACGAAAATTAACAGAGTGCCAATGGAGCCCTTTATCTATTGAGTGCAGGATTCATTAATTAATCCTTTTTATCTGTGACAGTTAAAGGTAAATCTAGAATATTCTGCTTCCTTGAAATGATTTCTAGTTTTTCTCTTACTTGCTAAAATACATTCTTTCAACTATATGTTATCTTTTGTCAACCATATATAAATTAAATCAAATTGCACTGGGCTATTTTGCCTTACGTTGACTTTTTTAAAGATAGTCATTTAGATAAATACCTTTTTATATTTTAGACTTAATATTTTTTTGAGAGTGACAAAAAGAACATGGAGTATCTTTCTGTTACTCCTCATTTTCATAATAGTGGAAGGTGGAAATCATATGGCATTATAAGTAGAAATTTTCTGCATCACTAAGAACATGTCTTAAAGTATAATGCCTCCTGGACAAGTAAGAAAAGTGTTCTATTAAGAAAAAATCTGGTCACATATTACGCACTGTCTGCACTATTTCTTTCCCTTTTCATTAAATATGTTACACACACACACACACTGACTCACAGGAATACTGGCGTTTATTTGTTTCCGCTATCTATTCCTCAATTTAAACCACATATATATTTTCATCATTTTCTTTAGAAATAGTTCTTTGACATGTCAAGCAGAGACTATGGAGATGCAAGAAAATCTTGGGAACTCAAGACATGTGTTTCTTTTGAATTTAATGTTTTAACTTTTTGTTGGGGTATCAGCTGTTTCTTAACGTGAATTTTTTTTTCCATGTTGGTCTTTGCTGTTAGACTAATACCTGCCAGGAACCAGTAATGGGAAAACATTCTAGTTACATGGATATTTGCCCATTTATGCTCACCTTTAACAAAAAGTGACGAGCATGTCACATTTCATCAGGTCACATCAGGTTGTGTCTCAAGAGAATAGAGAACATAAGATAACCCAGATCAAAGCAGCAAGCCTCAACTGAAAGTACAGAGAAAAGAAATACCAAGTGTTTAGGATTACAGAAAGAAAAAAACAACCTATCTGTAGGTTAATAGCAGCCTGCCTTTTGAATATATTTTTGTGAACAACAGTTATAATTAAACCAGAGGTAAATCCTGTTTCTATATGTTAAAGTGAGGTTATTTTATTTCTTATAAAAACTTGGCTTAGTATATTAAGAGCACAATTTAAAGTATCGAAGTTAACAATGAAGGTGATTCCTTACTCTGAAGGAACATGCCATCTAATGGGTTTTAAAAAATTATGTGGTCTACTACAGTAGCCACAGTCACATGTGGCTATTAAATTAAATAAAATTCAGTTAGTCACTCTTATTAGTCACATTTCAAGTGCTTTACTGTCATGTACGCCTAGCAGCTCCCAAATTGGACAGGAGTAGTACAGAAACATTTTCATCAAACAGAGGTGCTAATTTAGAATATTACAGGTGAAATGTAGTCCCAGCACACTGAAATGATGCATAAAGAATTCCAGACAGAGAGAAGATGGCAGAAAGGAAGAAAGTGGTGATTTCTGATTTCCTCACAACAGAAAGGAGCCAGTGACAGAAAAGTAGAGTTGAGAGCTGAGTGATACAATAAATGCCCTAAGACTCAATATTATAAAGACTGAGACCTGGAGAGATTTGAAGGTAGGCTACTAGAGTACAAAATAAACTCAGAGTTCCCTCACTCTGAACCAGAAGGAGGGTGGGAGAGCGGATGGGGCAACAAAGGGTAAAAGAGAAGGAATGGAAAAACCAAAGCTCACCTACTTAAAAGCATTTGGAAAAGCAGGCAAAATTTAAAGCATCATGGGAACAGCAGTGGCCTTGAAGCAGATCAAACAATTCAAAATCAAATCATAAAAAGAAAAAAAAAACCTGTGCTGGGGGTCCTCAACTGACTAGTCACCCCCTTAAATCAACATGGCATCTTCCCACATCCAGACAGCTCAAATTAAACCAGAGGTAAATTCTACACACTGGGATCTCTTAAGAATCCAGCTAGAAAACAATTCTAGAGGGAACACTAATATCCAAAGAATCACTGAACCCTCTCACACATGGTAAAAAAAAAGTTGTGGGGTGGAGTAGACCTGGGCAGAGAAGTGAGCCTAACCCAGTGCCCTGCTCAGCCTCTGTACTGCACAGCAGAGGTGGAAAGCTCTGTGCACTTCCATGGGACCTGAAACCTGGGCAGAGATGGAAAGGCAAAGAAACTTTGGCCCTGAGCACAGCAAAGCAGATCTATCAGGACCTTGCCAGCCCTGACCACAGACATCTGGAGAAGGCACCATGGGAAATTACTTCAGTCCTAAGAAGCCTTGGGACTGACCCTTTGATCAAGTGAAGCTGTCTGAATAACCGGTGACATAAATATCGGGTTCCTAGATGGTGGTAGCAGTTGGCAGAGGCTGCTAGCTGAAGTTTACTGAATACACCAGGAAACTTAAGCAGAAGATGCCTGGGTTGCATCAATAGCCAGAGGAAGGTCAGTTAAGGTAGAAAAGTGCTTGATCCAAGACAGCAGAGAATGACTGCTTTCAGCCTGACCCAGCTCCCAGTCTGAATGATACTCATAACTGGCAAGTGAAAGGACATTGTTTAGATACCGATTAGACCTTGCATCAGTCATAGTCAACAGAGGTAATTGGTGCCTGTCATTCATAATCTGAGGCAGTGAAAACTAGAACCCTGGTGAATTATGAGTCCCTCTAATACAGTAGCCCAGAGAGTGATGTAGGCCAGGGGAATGCTTTTGTACCACAGAATACCTGTGGAAAATCTACAACAGGATGACCTGTGTTTGTAGACAGCCATCAGGATATCTACAAAAAAAGCATCCAGCAAAGGGGAGCAAGTATATGGTGACTCAGAGCAATCACAAGGACACTCATTCAGAGACTGCATCTTAAACTCCTGTACACAATGGAAATAACCAAGACAACACTGCATGCTCTGAGCAGTCACTGAGCTGACAAATCAGAACCAGCTAATGGGAGGTCCACAGAACTAGAGAATTGACTTCTGTGCCAGTGCAATTCTGGAGAGATCCACAGTCAAAGAAGTGTAGGCATCTACTAAGTGACCAGAATTTTCTTCACCTTGGCAAAGTTTACTCTAAAAAACTCTAATGTTAACTTTGAACATATATATCACTGTTTAATTTGATTGATTATTGTTATTCTAATAACCAACATTGTATTTTCCACCCATTTGAATGTATTTCTTCTAATGGTTTGGAGCATTAATTGGAATCAGTCTTTCTCTGTTTTTCTAGCTCTAATTATTCTTGCTCCTTTCACCCCAATTTGTAGTCTTTCATTATCTGCTACTATCTCAAATACTGACCAACCATCTATTTCCCTTTCTCTCTCCCTCTCTCCCTCTTTCTCTCTCTCTCTTTTTGTCTTTTTGCCAGATCATTCTTCTTTTCCCCTTTTATCCCTTATTTAATGTTATAGCAATTTTACTAAATTCAATAATTACCATTTTAACATATTCCAGAACTTCACTACACATTTATAGCTGCATTGATGAACATGGAGAACAAAGTCAACAAACTTTTTTTTTTGTAAGATTAAATGGTACAAAGCTTGGTTCTGAAATAATTGTAGTAAACAAGGTTCAGTGGCATCTCTCAAAGTGGTGCTGTTATTGGGATCATCAGAGGTCACACATTCAGTTCAAGTATTAATATCTGGATATTGGCCCATCCCAGGGTTCTTAAGAGAAAAAATTCACAAAGTAGTCCTTTGCTTAAAAGATGAAGCAATAGCTATCCCAATAGATGGGTAGATACACACAATATGAAAAAGCAAGGGAATAAACCATCTCCAACAATCCAGAGTCCCACAACAACTGACTTCATTGATACCACAGTGGAAGAAATGTCAGAGAAAGAACACAGAAAGCTTAAATAAAATGTTTTATAAGCTAAGGAAGATGTAAAGAGTAAAATTAGCTAAAAAAATAAGGAAGTGAAAGATTCACTTTAAGAAAGAGATAGAAATGAAAATCCTGAAAATGAAAGACTCAATAAGCCAAATTAAAAATTCAATAAGAAGTATCACCAATAGATTAGACTACTCTGAAAATAGATTTTAACGTCTAAAGGATGAAGTGTATAATATTAAAATTAAAGTTGATCATAAATAAAATATGTTAAGATCAGGTACAGTGGTACATGCCTGTAATCCCAGTGGCTTGTCAGTGGAAGCAGGAGGATCACAAGTTAGCCAGACTTAGCAATTTAGTGAGGCGCTAAGCAACTTAGTGAGATCCTATCTTTAATAAAATACAAAATAAAGCTAGGCATGTGGCTCAGTGGTCAAGTGCCCCTGAACTCAATCCTCAGTACCTGTCCCCTAAAAAAAAAAAAAAGCTGTTAAGATACCACTTCAAGAATATTCAAGAACTTTGGGATAACATCAAGAGGCCAAATTTAAAAATCTTTGGGGGTAGATGAAGGCTGTAATATGAGCTAAAGAGATGCACAATTTTTTTCAATAAAATAGCATTAGAAAATATTTGAAATCTCAAGAATAAGATGAAGATTCAAATACAAGAAGCATTTTGGACTCCAAATATACAAAATTATGATAGAACCACTCACTCCAAGTCATATTGTAATATGCCTAATGTATAGAATGAGTATGGTATTTTAAAACCTGCTAGGGTAAAAAACTGGTCACATTTAGAGGTAAACCAATTTGGATTTCAACTTTGTGCTCAATCCAGACCCAGAAAACCATGAGGACTGAAAAGAATGTACATGATGCTCTGAAAGAAGATGGATGCTAATCAAGAACACTATACCAAGAAAAATTAACCTTCAAAATTGAAGATAAAAGAAAAACATTCTCTGATAAACAGAAGCTAAAAGAATTTATAAACAGAAAGTTTATTCTACAAAATGTACTCAGTGAAAGAGTTCATGGAGAAGAAAAAAAAAAAAAACCCGAAAACCACCATAGGATGAATTACACTAGAAGAATAGTCAAAGGAGAATCAAGTTTGATTTAAATACAGAAACACATCAAAGTAGCACAAAATAAAGAACATTTCTCTATAAGAACATTAAATGTAAATGGTCTAAACTCTTTTTAATCAAAAGACATAGATTGGCACATTGGATTTAAAAGCAAAACCCAGCAATACGCTGTTTGCAAGAACTACTTCACAGGTAAAGTCATCCACAGACTGAAGGTGAAAGAATAGTACTAAATGGAAAATAACTATAAGCATTTCCTCTAAAAACAGGGAAAGGCCATGAATGCTCACTCTCATCACTACTATTCAACAAAGTCCTCATAACTCTAGTCAGAGCAATTGGGCAAGAGAAGGAAATTAAAGGGATACAAATAGGAAAAGAAGAACTCAAACCACCTCTGTTTGCTGATATACATAATCCTACATTTTGAAGAACTAAAGAAACTCCACCAGAAGACTTTTAGAGCTCATAAATGAATCCAGCAAAATAGGAGGATATAAGATTAACACTTATGAATCAGTCATGTTCCTATACTCTAATAATAAATCTGATGAAAAAGTAATTAGGAAAACTATCCCATTCAAAATAGTATAAAAAAATTTGGAAATCAATCTATCAAAATGATGAAAGAACTCTACCATGAAAATTAGAAAATCTAAAAAAAGAAATTTAAGATGACCTCGGAAGATGGAAAGACTTCCCATTTTCTTATCAACACAGAATTAATATTGTCAAACTGGCCCACATTCCCAAAAGCACAAATACAGATTCAATGTAATCCCCATCAAAATACCAATGACATTCTTCACAGAACTAGAAAAAGCAGTTATAAAATTCATGTGGACAAATAAGAGACCCAGAATAGCCAGAGCAATTGTTAGCAAGAGAGTGGAGCTGGAGGCATCACAATATTGGACCTCAAATTATACTACAGCAGTATAGTAACAAAAACAGCATGACACTGGCACTAAAACAGACATGAAAACCAATGGAATAGAAAAAAAAACAAACACAGACAAAACCACAGGAATACAGTTATCTGATACTAGACAAAGTTGACAAAATCATGTTGGAGAAAAGATAGTCCTTTTAACAAATGGTGCTGGGGAAACTAGAAATCCATATGTAGAAGACTGAAACTTGACCCCTATTTCTCATCCTACATAAAAGTCAATTTGAACTCGGTCAAAGATCTGAGAATTAGAACAGAAATTCTGCAACTGCTAAAATAAAATATTGGCCCAGCACTTCAGTATGTTGACACAGGAAACAACTTGCTTAATAAGACTTACAAAGTGGAAGAAATAAAATTAAAAATCAAGAAGTGTGATGACATCAAATTAAAAACCTTCTGCACAGCAAAGAAAACAAGAACATGAAGAGAAAACCAACAGAATGGGTGATTTTTGCCACCTGCTCCTCAGATACAAAGAACTCAGAAAATTTAATATAAAAAGAACCAAATAATCCAATCAATACATGGGCTATAGAACTAAACAGATGCTTTTCAAAAAAAAAGACATACAAATGCTCAACAAGTATATGAAAAAAATGTTCAACATCTCTAGCAATTAGGGAAATGCAAATTGAAATTACATTGAGATTTCATATCTCTCCAGACAGAATGACAATTATCAAGAATACAAATAATAATAAATATTAATGAGGATTTTAGGAAAAGTTTCACTTGTATATTGTTGGAGCAATCACTCTGGAAAGCAGTGTGGAAATTAGTGTAACCACTCTGGAAAGCAGTATGGAGATTCTCCAAAAAAAACTATGAGTGAACCACCATATGACCTAGATATTCTACTCCTCAGTACATATCCAAAAGATTTAAAATCAGCATACTACAGTGATATAGTCACATCAATGTCATAGCAGCATAATTCACAATAGCCAATCTATGCAATCAAACTAGGTGCCCTTCAGCAGATTAAAGGATAAAGAAATTCTGATATATATGTATTATACAGACACAAAGAACAATGAAATCATGGCATTTTTCTGGAAATGGATGGAACTAGAGACTATCAAGATAGTGAAATAAGCCAGTTCCAAAAAAGCCAAAGATCATTTTTTTTCTCTGATATGTTGAAACTAGTCCAAAATAAAGGTAGGGTGTATGGAAAGAAAGAAAACAAAAATACAGGGAGAGGGAATTTCATCAAAATAAAAGAAAGATCAGCAGAGTAGGTGAAGGGGATTGTGGAGAAGGAAGGAGGGACAGGAAAAGTGAAAAACAGTGGAATGAATCTGATCAAACATACATGAATATACCACAGTGAATCTTGACATAAAGTATAGCTACAAGACATTAATTTTAAAAAAACTATAAATAAACAACAGAAATATCAATAGAGTAGAAGGAGGGGAGCAAAGATAGTGAGATGGCTGGAAGGCAGGAAGTGCTCTGGACTGAATTGGAACAAATTGTATTCCATGCTTTTGTGATTATCACACAATGTATCTTAATGTTACATATCAGGATCAAAATACCTGATATGTAAAATAGATAAGTAAAATAGTTGTGGCTCAAATTCATAAATAAATTGTTCATATGTATTCAATATATTTTATATATATTTGTGTCATGAGCCATCCATGGGTTGAGTGTGGGTCACCATGCATTGAAGCCTAGTGGATAGAAACATCTGGTGTCTGGGAATGACCAGTAGACATTTTCTCTGGTCAATTTCCCAGGGACAATGTGAATTTCTATCTTGCTCAGCAGTGTCCAACACAGTGTCTGAGATGGGTGTGACCTGCCAAGATGCTAATCAACCTGCTGATTGCATGATATCATGAAGCAAGACTCCACCCTTGAAAGCTTATCCCTGCCTTTAATGTACCCCTTAAATAAACCACCAGAGCCATCTTCCCTTTGTCTATTTCCAGCACCTATGTGGAGTAGATCTATCAGGGGCTCTGCCTTTTGTGAATATATTTCTGACTATTTGTGTTTTGTTCTTCACTAGTTATTTTAGACTTCAAGTTTCTAGGTGGCTTTCACCCTCCTTGGCAGGAAGAAGAACCCCTGCATGAGATGCTGGCCATCGCCCCAGTTATATTTGTACATATATGTTTATATGGATTACTATGACACCTTTACAAAACTAAGAAATAAGCAGCACTACATTGTTATTAATTAAGCTCTAGACTTAATTCATGTTTTATTAACTTTCCCATTTATATGATTTTTCTGCTTCAGGATCCAATTCAAGATACCACATTGCATTTAGTTATCATACCTTCCTAATCTCCTGGGATCTGTGAGAATTTTTCAGTCTTTCATCAGCTCAACAATTTCAAGAGCACTGGTAAGGCATTGTATAGAATATTCCTCATTTGGGTTTTATCTGATATTTTTCTCAGCATTAAATATGGGTTATGGCTTTCTGGGAAGAATACTACAGAAGTGAAATGACATTCAAATGATGTCATTACAGGGTTATATAATAACCAAATGTAATTTCTTTAACTGTGATCACCTGGATATGTTAGTATCTTCTGGTTTTCTTCAAAGTGTAAAGTTTTGTTTTTCACTTTCTGCATTTTTTCCATTTTCATTCTTTGTAAGCAAGTAACTAAATTCAGCACACCCCCACGATGGAATTTCTTGCAGAGGGAAATATCTGAATATATTTTTGAATTAACGAAGAAGGTTAATCTCTTCTCTCTTACCTATTATTGACATTTTGTTCATTCAGTTACTCATGTATATTACTTTGATCTAATATATACTTAAGTTGTAAATTATATCTTTTATACTTGTTCAAATAATTTTAAGCTTTGCTATTGGACCTTTCAAGTAACTCCCATGTCCCTTTGACATGTCTTCCAGTCTTTTATTTTCTGAACATATTACTTTTTGTTTCTACAGGATACTTGAAAATTATTGTATATTTTATTTTCTCCTACCTTAGAATAAACTGTTTTTCTAAAGTTGTTGATTACTTTACTGAAGAGTGATATTTAGAAACTAGAACTTGGGCACTGGGTGTATTGCTTATTGGCTTCCAGAGGACACAGTAGGTAATATATATTTGTAAAGTGTCCAGGTTATACCAACATGTCTGTGTTTGCTTCTTTATCTGTCTGCATGGATATTAAGTTAAACGTAAGTTCATATTAATGTCTCTAAATGTAGTCAATTACCAAAGAGTTCATTCTAGCTTTTGAGTTGTTCTGTACCTTTTCTCTATAACAATGAGAATCTTGGATCATACCATCCAGTATTCATTTATTTTTTTCTTCAACCCCAATTTACAAGTAAGGCAGTTTTAAATTTGTTAACCCAAACACTGTACTTGTAGCTTTGTATTTATTTGTTCATTTGGTACCTCTTTGGTACAATACATAAAGCAGTTTGTTTCAACTTTATTGATTTCCTGATTAAACTACTGCACTTCATAGATGGCTTCTGAAATTAGCTGGATGCACAATTGGTAGGAGTGGTACATATATCTGACTAAAATGCTTATGCTTACAAAAGCCTTCCAAAAAATATAAGAAGAAAGAGAAAGGAAGGAGAGGATGAAAGAGTATATTCAAAGATATTCATATAAGAGTTTTATAGAACTAAGAGAATAACATCAAGAAGGCTAAAGACTAAAGAATAAGCATACCCATCAAAAGCACTTAAATAAGCCAGTGAAATTCAAAATCTAAATTTAGAGCAAGACAAACAAGGGATTTAGGACTTAAAAAGATATTAATGGATGTTGGAGAAAAAGAAAACTTTTTTTTTTTTTTGTCAAGGACATTGGGAAGAAAGAAGAAAATATTGACCAAATAGGATTGAAGCTTTTGTTAGATAAAGTATCCTTGGAGTATTGTTCAAGTCCACAGTCTAGAATATGGAGGCATTGCAGGTGATATTACTAGAGAACTGCTCATAACTCTGTATGAATTGAGAGAAAGTTATACATGCCAGATATTAGTGACAGACTCAAGTTCTCAAGATTTAAAATCATGGAAAAATTAAGGACTTCTAAAGGTGATATGAATCTTGTGGATATTTCTAGAATAGAGTCTTCTTTGAGAAAATGAATGTCTAGTCCAGTGTAATACGACTCTGGCCAGTATGTTATGATATCAAAATTATGAAAACTTAAGTAAATGTATTTTTCTCCTTTCTCAATCCAGGCCTGCTGCAGCCTTGAATGCTTTTAGTCAAATTTAGAAAATATAGGATGTTTTCTCCTTCTAAACTAAATTTTGTCTCTCTTGGCTAACTTCTGCCTTTGTAGGTACTAATGTGTAACAGCAAGGGAAAATGATAAGCAAAGAAAGGAAAAATGATAAGCAAGGAAAGGAAAAATGTAACCTACAAATATTGTTGGTTATTGTTGGTTACAATGCTTATGGCAGAAGCATGGTTCTTAGCCTATCTTCCTATGGGGCATTTTTACTTATACCTTGGGGTATTAGAGACCTAAAAAGATGAGCTTTATTTATTCATTTTTCATGCAATAAGAAGTTGGAAGTCAGGTAGTTCAGAAATCACAGGCAGTTCAATGCCATCAGGAATCCAGGTGTTTCTCATTTTTCTTCTTCTCCATCCTTATGGATTGGCGTATATATTTATACTTATTTTATTTTTATTTATTTTTATAGAACTTTTAGTTATACATGGTAGTTTTATTTGTTCCCAATAAAATCAAACATGCATGGGATTCAATTCAGTTTATAATCCCCCTTTTCTTTCCCTGTTTTCCCTCCCATCCTCCTTTCCTCTCCTATTCTCCTTCCTCTACTTTGACAGACTCCCTTTCACTTAAATATTCATTTATAACTGATTAGCTCTTTCAACTTAGACATAAAGATGAAATTCCTCGTGGTATATTTATACATGCACATAGCATGATTTTAATAGGAATTCATTCTGCATTGCTTCCTTTTTCTCATCCCTCTACACTGCCTATTGATCTTTTACACTACTGATATCTTGCTTTTCTCGTCTCCTTTCCTTTATTTTATTCTAGCTTCCACATATGAGAGAAAATATTTGACTAAGTCTGGCTTATTTTACTTAGCTTGATGTTCTCCATTTTCATCTATTTGCCAGCAAATATCATAAATTCATTCTGTTTTTATGGTAACTAGAACTTCATTATGTATAAATACCATAATCTTTAATCCATTTATCTATTGGTAAGCACCTGGAGTGATTCCATAATTTGGCTATTATGAGTTGTGCTGTTGTAAACATTAAGGCAGCTGTATTGCTATCGAATGCTGATTTTAAGTCTTTTGGATTCATATCAAGGAGTGGGATAGAAAGGTGATATGGCGATTCCATTCATAGTTTTTTTGAGAAATCTCCATACTGCTTTCCAGTGTGGATATAATGGTCTGCAGTCTTACCAGCAATGTACATCTGCATGCCTATTTTAGTTTGCTGGCAAGACATGCTGAGACTCAAGGTTTATATCTGTGTTATAGTTAAGTTTGAAAAGAAAATACAGATCACAATGGTGCATATTAATTGAACAATCCTTTTTTGAAAAAGAACAGGGGACATATTGCTAAATTTTATGATGTTTTTGTTTTTCTTTTCTTTTTACTTTTTTATTATATATGACAGTGGAATGCATTACAATTCTTATTACACATATAGAGCACAATTTTTCATATCTCTGGTTGTATGCAAATATATTCATACCAATTTGTGTCTTCATACATGTACTTTAGATAATAATGATAATCATGTTCCACAATCATGTGGATTTTCTAATAAACTTCTTAATTTCAGGACATTTTAAATTTAAAGAAAAATTATGAAGATAGTACAGAGTTAACATATATTTCACATTCAGTTTCTCCTGTTAACTATTTACATTTATATACTGTATTTGTCACAATTAATGAACCAGTATTCTAATATTATTGTTAACCAAAGCCCACATGTCCTCACTTCATTCATATTTTCTTAGTATTTACCTAATGTCTGTTTTCTTATGTTGCAGAGTTCCATCCAGTACACTACATTTATTGGTCATGTATCCTTTGCTGTTCTTGCCAAAAATGTGTTTAGTCTTCCCTTGTTTTGCATGACCTTGAAACGCTGAGGAGTACTAGTCACATACTCTGTTGAATGCCCTTCAATTGGTATTTATTTGCCACTGTTCTCATGATTAGACTGTGTTTAGGCACCTTGGGGGAGAAGACAATAGAGATAAAATGCCATTTGCCACACAACATATCAAGGACATGTACTATCAATCTTATTTATGACTGTTAATGTGACTTTGATCACCTGGCCGACAGAGTTTTTGAGGGTTCTTCTTGGTAAAGTTGATTTTCTGTTGTTCCATACTGTACTATCTGCAAAGGAATCAGTACATGAGAGATCTCACTTAAGGAATAGTGTTCTGCTCCATGTTTTTAAAGGTGGAGTATCTAAACAAACTACTTCACAAATATGAGGAAATTAAATATTGCACACTTAAATAAGTACTGGGTGAAAGTGGAAGCCAGAAATAAATTTAAAAAAAAATATGTTGGGACAACAAAAATGAAAACATAACAACAAATAAACACTTGTTTAGATGCAGCAAAAGCAGTAATAAGAAGGATGTTTATACAAAAAAAAAAACCACCTACACTAAAAAAGGAAAAGAATATTGAATACATAACCTAACTTCAGGAAATAGAAAAAGAAAAGGAAGGGAATAGTAAATAAATATTAGTGCATGAATAAACCAAATGGTGAGTTGAAAAACTATACAAAACATCAGCAAAACTAAGAGTTGATTTCTTTAAAAAAATAAGAAAAATTGACACATTTCAGCTACACTAAGGAAAAAATAAAGAAAAGTGAAATAAGTAAAAATAGAAGTTAAAGTGAAAACATTACCATAGATACCTCAGAAGTGAAACAGATTATTAGATACAATTATAATGTGCTAGCAAATTGGTACCGAGAAGAAATGGATGAATTCCTACAAACAATCTTGATACATTCTATCAAAAATGAATCAAGAAGAGATGGAAAGCCTGAGTAGACCAGTGACAAATAGTGAATTTAAGTAAGTTTTAAAAACCTATCAACAAAGTTAAAGCCCAAGATCAGATGGTTTCACTGGTGAATTCTAGCAAAGAAGAATCAATACCAATCTCTGTAAAACTTTTCAAAGAACTAGAAATAGAAGGAATAGTTTCTTCTTATTTTACGAGACCAGAATGACCCTGGTGATAAGGCAAATAAATATACCATAAGAAAAGAAAATATAAGACAATATCTTCATCATCATACTTGAAAATTTCCCCAGTAAAATACTAGAAAAAAACTCTATAGCACATCAGAAAGATTACA